AGTTCAAAATGAACGTCTACTAAGGGAAAACCTTGATTTCCTAGACGAAGTCCGAGAGCAATCCCGACTTCGAACTCTAGCATACAAACAAAGAATAGCCAACCTTTACAATAAACGGGTCCGACCTCGAAACTTCAAAGTCGGTGACCTCGTCCTCAGAAAAGCGGGGCTCACAGGGTTCAAGACCCGATATGGCAAGCTAGCACCAAACTGGGAAGGCCCTTACATTGTAACTGAGGTCTCGCACCTCGGTGCATACATTCTTCAAGATGCCGAGGGCAAAAGGGTGCCTAGAGTTTGGAACGTCAACAATCTTAAAAAATTTCACTCTTGAAGGTTCCTTTCTTTGTTTTGTGTTAGGCATCTTTTTAAATAACATTCCAATACAATTGAAGACGACGTCAATTAGGGACGAAGTCAATTCCACTTCTTCAAACTTAATTGTATTAACAATGTTATTTGAACATCTCTTATTTTGGATCACATCCAAATGCAATAAAAAAGAATCAAATTCATTCCATTAAATTCTGATCGTTTACAAAGAATATCTCTCAAAAAAAAAAAAAAAAAACCGAGGCCAAATCTAGTCAGCAGTCTGGTTCGAGTTGGCCGCAGGCTGCTCGGGGTTATCAGTAGGCTGACTTGGCTGGTCAGCACCTTCAGTTGACTTTTCAGCACCTTCGGTAACCTCGCCACCTTCGGTCCCCTCTTCCTCCACTGCCACGAATTCAAAACTAAACTTGGGAGGCAAAACGGTTTGACCTCTGCTATCCCTCTCCCACTTCAGCGTTATCTCCGGGTGGAAGTCAACAGTACTGCTCTCTCCGTCCTCCTCCACCTCCCCTTCCTGCTCTCCGAAGGTAATCTTCGTTATATCCACACTAGGATATTGCAGCTTTACCTTCTTCCGGCAGTTAGAGAAAGCCACGATAGCAATAGGAAGACGATAGAGGTTGACGATGTCCTCGAAGGTGCTGGACCTCAGGAACCCCTCCACATGCTCTTCGACTGAGTTGTGAACCTTGAGTTCCAACTCAACCACTGTCCTCCCCACATCCTCCAGCTCCTTCTCCCTCTTCTCGAGCTCAGCCTCGCATATCTTCCTCTTCTGGTACGAGATCTCCGAGTCCTTTTTGAAGGTAGCGTTTTCTTTTCAGAGTTCCTCCATCTCCGCTTTCAACCTCGCCACCTCGGCCTCCTTGTTTTTCTTGACAAGCTCGGCGTTATCCTTCCTCATTTGGTTCCTCTCTTTAAAACTCTCGTGATGCTCATGGGCCAAAGCATTCACGAGATTAACAGCCTGCACAGTGGAACCACCCTAACTCGTCAAACACTTAACAAAATCAGAATCCTTACACTCCAAGCGAGATGAAAGGACCATACCTTCAGCGTTTGACGGACAACGCCAACTGAACCCCTGGCAGCCACCTCGTCCTTTGCACGCTGGCGGTCCACCTCCGAGAAATAAGTGTTGATGAACCTCTTTGCTGTACTCCTTATCCCGGAGTCATAAAAGCTAGTCATCTGCGCTCGGATGTACCCTTGCTCCCGGAGCGCAGCAGCAAACTGAACAGCCGAGGCTGACGAGGTCCCTTCCAGGCGGAGGGTTGAAGTCACGGCCTCTGGTGCCTCATCTACCTCCTCCACGGCCTCTTGTCGCTCCAGCCTCCTCCTCTTCGCCACAATGGGCCCCTCCTCAGCAACCGTCACTCCCCCTCCAACATGGCCAGGCTGTGTGATAGCCAAGTTTTCCACTTCGGCTTGAGGCAGTGAAACCTCTTCCACCCGCCTCCTGACCTCGCCTCTCTTCCCTCTCCCCTTCTTTGGAATTCCAGCTCCACTAGCTGCGTCCAAAAACTTGTTCATCTCTTCTTCAAAACAAAACAAGGTTAAACTCTGATTAGAATTCTTGAATTAAATCAACAATTAAGGTCACACACCTCCTCTTTGTGAGCTCGGCCCATATATCTCAGCCGCGTCTAACATCCTCTGACTCGTATACTCCATGATGTCCAGCAAACCCACACCCCCTCTTTCCAACTCCCCCACATCCTCTAACTCCCCCGGGGTCAAACTATACTCATTGAGGTTTAACCCTTTCGCCTTCCAACGACTCAAGTGTTCCACCTCAGCATCAGTCTTATCCCACTCTGTGTCATCCGCAAAAAAGAACTTATCTTTCCACCTTTTAATGGAGGACGGCCCAGCGCTAAGCAGACCCCTCCTCTGCTTATTCACTAGCCGGCCCGTAAAATAGTACCACCCCTTCTCCCTACCACTCCCAGCATTCAAGACGTAAAAGTACTTGAATATGTTAGCAGTGGGAAAACTTACCCCCCGACTTCGGCTATACACTGCAAACACCACCACTAACCTCACAGCATTGGGGGTGAGTTGCGTTAACCCCAGACCATACTCCAACAACAACCACACCAACAGGTCTGGGAAAGGGAATTGCAACCCAGCCGCCAAGTAATGGGAGTAGAGAGGCATCCAGTGGTCCCCCGGGGCCGAACATGCCCTCTCTCTACTCCCCGTCGGCCTCACCAACACACGCCCAGGCACCCCATAATTCTCAACCAAGTGGGCCAAACTACCCCTATTTTCCAAAGTTGTTTCATACCCTGCCACCTCACTAACAACTTCCCCCTCAGGGTTGAAACACAGCTCTCTTCCATCCTCTCTCTCCAAAATGTTCGACGGCAGCCTCAAATCCCTATTCTCTGCCTCCTCAACCCTCCCCCTCACTCGGCCGTCACTAAGCGTCTCTTCAGAAGACATTCTCACAGCAAAGAAAGGTAGAAAAAAGACACTCATACGCTCGCAAATTACCTGGTCTCTGCGAAAACGGACGAACAATGTTGAGTGCAGGTACACTGGTGACTTTTCCAGAAGCTAACAGCAAATTGGGTTGGATTTTTCTAACTCTGAATATATATATGACGGTAGAACACATCTTGATAGTCACGATTAACTCCCTTAAACCGTCACAACCATGCCCTTTCAAATTTGCCGTTTCAATTAACGTCGCGTCCCTTCGAATGTCACGGTTACTTTTCGCAGACGATATTTATCACTGCACGTTCTTCCATGACAGCTGTCGTCTGCTGCATTAACCAACTTTAGTATTCCATAAATAGGCCCATTTTAGGCCTATTGTAATCCCCTTACATATACTTTAACACGAAAACTGTCAAGTCCCAATTTTATCTCGGCTACGGCCACAATGACTATGTGTCACCAACTTCATCTTGGCTACGGCCACAGTGACTACGTGTCACCAATTTCATCTCGGCTACGGCCACAGTGACTACGTGTCACCAATTTCATCTCGGCTACGGCCACAGTGACTACGTGTCACCAATTTCATCTCGGCTATGGCCACAGTGACTTCGTGTCACCAATTTCATCTCGGCTACGGCCACAATGACTCAGTCTCACCAATTTCACCTCGGCTATGGCCTCCATACCGCCAACGCTACCCTACTTACTCAACCTCACACTCTTTATCATCCATAGA